TTAACCTCCGAGTTGCAATGCTGAGAAAAGCCAAACTAAAGAACTGTAACCTCAGGGGAGCAACGCTGGCAGGAACTGATTTGGAAGTGAGTTAGGATTCATTTTCCATCCTATTCCTTTCTATCCTATAGTCAGCTGGTAACTTGGGGGATTGCTGGCTTTTGGCTGAGCTCTCCAGCTTCAGATTACAGTGGAGTTCAGGTAAATGTACTTCAAGTAAAGCTTTGAACAGAGTTCTGGGTGCATTCCATTGACACTTCTTCTTCTTTTCCCCTTCTGAACTGTGACCTATCAGGTTGTGACCTCCAGGAAGCCAATTTGAGGGGCTCTGATGTGAAAGGAACCATCTTTGAAGAGATGCTGACCCCCCTGCACGTCCCAAAGCGTCAGATAGGGAAGAGAAGACGTCAAAGAAGAAGGAATCCAAACATTTGTTGTGACTTTCTTCACCTCCTCCCCTTCCTGAGTTAGAAGTAATGCTTATTAGACAACTTCCATTTGCAGTAGTGCCTAAGTAGACTCTTTTTGATCACTTTTTGGGAGGAATTTTTGTTTCAGAGGTGGAAAGAGAGAGTTTCTCCCTTTGTGAAGAGAGTGAGGAAGTAGGCTGGTTGTGAAACCAGAAAGTAGGGCTGGTTTGGCGGGGAGGGTTCAAGACTTTCATTGTTTAGCATTGCCTGACTTTGTAATGCATTTTAATTTCTAAAGCACAATATATGCAATTCTATTTATTAAGTCTGTAGCTGCAATATGAATAGAAAATGTTATTGCTGTATAGTAGCAAAGAAAGTGGAGGTTTACAGGTAGACAAGTGTATTTACAGTCAGTCTTCATTCGTGCAGGGTGTTAATGCCAGGGGTGGTCACACAGTGCCCACAGGATGTGTTCAGGTCTCTGCTGGGGTGGAAACAGTGGGGAACTGTCCTCAGAGGTCATAAATTGCTGTGGAGTAGTTGGAGTGCAGGTTTAGAGCAGCTTTATCACCTCAAATGTGCAGAGGAAGCTGCTGGCCCTGCAGGGACCTGCCCACAGCCCAGATTGAGTTACCCCTGGAACATCCCTGTGTGTGTGTGTCACAGCCCCCTCATGGCCCCCTCGCTCACCTGGGGGGACACACACGTATGTCATGTGTGTGACGTGTGTCATGTGTGTGTTACAGCCTCCCGTGGCCCCCCACTCACCTGGGGACACACGTGTGTCATGTGTGTGATGTGTGTGTCACAGCAACCCCACAGCCCCCCTGCTCACCTGGGGACAACACGCATGTGTCACATGAGGGTCACGTGTGTCACACGAGGGGCCTTGTGCCAGGGGAACTCTCAGGGGTCTCCCAGGGATCTCTCAGGGGTCTCACACAGGGGTCTCTCCCGGAGGTGTCCCAGGGGTCTCTCAGGGGTCTCCCAGGGGTCTCTCTCACACAGGGGGGTCTCACACAGGGGTCTTTCAGGGGTCTCTCCCGGGAGTCTCTCTCACACAGGGATCTCTCCCAGGGGTCTCTCTCACACAGGGTGGTCTCTCCTGGGGGTTTCTCAGGGATCTCTCCCCAGGGGTCTCACCCTTGCAGGCACTGATCATCTGCAGCACCATCTCGGCCGCCCCCCACGTGTGCTGCTGGGACAGCAGCTTCTGCTTCTCCATCTCCTTCTCCTGGGGGGGCACGGGGGGGTCACAGGGGTCAGGAGGGGTCGGAGGGGTCAGAGGGTGTCAGGGGTTGGGGACCAGGGGGGTCAAAGGGGGGTCACAGGGGGAGGTTCAGCAGCTTCTTCTTCTCCATCTCCTGGGAGGCACAGGTCAGTCAGGGGGGGTCAGGGGAGTCACAAGGGTCAGAGGGTTCATGGGGGGTTTTGGAGTCCCCCCCACCTCGAATGAGTCCTCGGCCTCTTCCTTCTCCTCTTCCTCCTCCCCTTCCCCCATGTGGCAGCTCGGGGGGGGGGGGGAAATTAGAGGGGGGGTTAACCCCCCCCCCCGAAAAAGGGGGGGGGGGTAACTCAGGTTTTTATCAATAATTCCCTTGAGGTGGATTAAAGTGAAACGACACTAAATAATCGGTGTCTGAAAACAAAGTTTATTTTAACAATTTTGTCAACAAGTATGCTAGCATTTTGGGTGTTGTCATACAACAATGCAACATAGAGGTAACCTTTGGGGGGGGGAGAAACTGCTTAGGGGAGAGAAAAAACAGGATGAGAGTAAGGGAAAAGAGAAGCTGAGAGTGCAAAAGAAATGGATATAGTCACCGCCCACTGGATCCAGTGATGCTTGAGAGCGATGGTCACCCACGGGATCCAGCGATGCTTGAGAGCGATGGTCATGATTTGCAGGCGGTGGGGGAGAAAGAGAACTCCCAAATCCTAAAGTCACCAGTCAGTTTATATACCCTCAGCATGCTTTTGCACCTCCCTGGGATGAGGAGTTGTTTGCCTTTTTAGGGTTTGGCACTGGAGGGAGGGGTGGGCCCAACTGCCCATCTGAGGCATCTTCTTGCCTTTTTAGGGCTACTGCCCATCTGAGGTATCTTCTTGCCTTTTTAGGGCAAAAGTCAAAGCCTGCAAACTCCTGGAATGCATAAATCATTAACCATTTCAGTCTCTGACAGGGGGGGCTCCTCAAATTAGCCTCCCCCCAACCAGCCTTTTGGGGGGGGGGGGAGGCAAAATCCCTGGGGATGCCCAAAATAACCAGGGAAACCCCCCAATCCCTGGGGACCCCCTAAGTTCCTGCCCCTCACACTCAGTCCCCTCATCTTTGATGGTCCCACCCTTGGGGACCTCCCCCAATCCCTGGGGACCTCCCCAATCCCCGCCTCCCCCCCCACCTCTGGGGAACCCCCCCGTCTCTGGATCCTCCACCAAATATCTCTGGGGACCCCCCACCTCCAGGGACCCCCAAAACCCCTGGGAACCCCCTCCCCAATCTCCAAGTCCCCCCTCTAAATTCTGGGGACCCTCCCCCCGTCCCAATATAACCCCACCTGAATTCCTGGGAATCCCCCAACCCCCAAGCCCCCCTTTAAACCCCTCGACCCCATTTTTGGGGGTCCCGCCTTGGCCATGATGCCAGCGTAGGCCATGTACAGGTGATTCTGCTCCAGCTGACTGTGGGATTTGGGGGGGGGGGGGCAAGGGGTGGGGGGGGCGGGGCCCCCCCCCCAGTCCCCCAGGAGGGGCCCCACGGGTGGGGGTTACCCCCAACACCCACCTCAGGGGGATTCTGGGGTCCCCACCCAGGTTTTGGGTGTCCCCACCCCCTCAGTGCTATTTTGTGGGATTTGGGGTTTCGGGGTCCCCCTGGTGGGATTTAGGGCTTCAGGGTCCTGCCTGATGTATTTTGAGGTCCCTCTGGTGTGTTTTGGGGTTTGGGGTCCCCCAATGATTTGGGCTCCCCGGGGTGTATTTTGGGGTCCCCAGGGTGTGTTTTGGGGTGATCTGGGTGCTTTTTGGGTCCCTCTGCTCGGTCAGGGCCATCCTGCTGAAGTGCAGGATGAGCTGCTGTGTTTGGGTGTGTTTCGGTGTGTTTTGGGGGCCCCCCATGTGTGTTTTGGGTTCCCTAGGGTGTGTTTTGGGGTGATCTGGGTGTGTTTTGAGTGTGTTTTGGGGTCCCTGGGGTGTGTTTCGAGGTGATTTCAGTCCCTCATCTTGGTCAGGGCCATCCTGCTGAAGTGCGGAATGAGCTGCTTGTTTGGGTGTGAGTGTGTGTGGGTGTATTTGGCTGTGTCTGAGTGGGTGTGGGTGTGTCTGGGTGTGTGCGGGTGTGTGTGGGATGTCTTAGTCAATGCTCTCCAAATGAGTGTGAAATTCCACTATCAATCCCAGCTGGGAAGAAAAATTCCCCTGCTTCCACATGTCCTGACCACTCCAGACTGGAGTTCCTGTAGCTTTTTCCTTCTTTCTTGGGAATTCAATGTACAGAGGAAAACACAGAACTGTCCCCAAAGCAGAGAGAACCTCTGGGGCCACAGCACCTGCTCCCCCCCCCTTATCTCATCCCTTCAGTAGGTGAATACATGGCCCTGTTTCCCCTCAATGTACTATGCAAATCCTCCTTGAAAGCATGGGCATAATCCCCTTTGCCAGCCAGATCCACTTTGGGCTGCTTAAAGTGGCTGTAAAAGCATCTTGCCTGGGGCCAAGTGCCCCTTCCACACTTGCTTTAGCTGTGGAAAAAAGCAGGGAAAGCTGTTTTTTGTGTGAGCACCCTTCCTGTCTCAGTGTTTGTGATCTTGGGAATCCTCATGAACTTGGAACAATGCCAGATTATCTGTTGTCCTAAGATACATGGGTGGAGATTGTTTTGATCTGTGTTTAAATCTTCCTTGAAAATACAACTGATAGAAAACAATGTAAAAAAAAAGA